AGCACCTCTAGTAATATATTTACTGAGAAAAATGTTGATGTGTTCAATACTTATTTTACCCGCTGTACATTGATAAGGCATTAATTCATTATATTTTGACAAAATGCAATTTTCGCACACATTTAAATCAAAACCCTAAATCTGCCCATTTCTCCACATTCAAATTTTGGACTTAATGCTTGTTTCGATGCGTTTGGTCATATTTATTTATTTTAATAATGCAGAATAAAATGTCACTTATGCAGTTTTTCAAAGCAGCTTTGATCAATAGTTCCTCGTCTTTTTTTAAACCTTGGCTGATTTTTCTCTTGTTTTCTGCTCAGTTTGTGCCTGATGGTTCCAGTAAAGTTGTGTGCTCACAAAACAAATAAAGTAGAAAAGTGGAGGAAAAAATAAAATGTATCAGTTTATAAAAGCAACATAAACAACATCTGAAAGTAGAGACATTAAGCAAGAAAAGGGGGAAAATAGGTAAAACAGGACCTCATGCATCTGTAATGTGTCAGCTAATATGTCTGTGAGAATGATGGTGCTAAAACACAGCTTCACACTGTGATTACTGGAGAACCAGTATTTTCTGGACTTTTCACCGTAAGAAAAAGATGATCATCACACCGGCTGTTTGTTTGAGGTATTTTTAGATGTGTGGTCTCGGGACCACTCAGGGCAGCTTTCACTGCTTCAACAATGTGTTGAAACACAAAGAAAGGTGAGCTGAAAGGAACAGTGTAAACACACTCATCCGTTYCTTTGTGTTGTCGGTGTTTTTGTCGCGGGGAGGTGGGACAGAGCTGTTGAGTAATCAGCTGAGCTGCTTCATGTCAGACTCCTCTCTGCACACTCGGGTCAGAGGTGAGATTTCCTCCCTTTGCTGTTGCGTGTCGAGTAAACTCTGTCTTTCCTGCATCTCCTGTTGCCTCGTGTGTTCAGATCTCTGAGGTGAGTCCGTTTAATTTTCCATAAATATACGCAGAAAAAACTMTTCTCACTTGTTCTTTTATGTCTCTATATTATCCGTCTATATGCAGTAGTAATGTTGGTCTACATACAAAACACTAAATGTTTACTTTTCTTGAGTCTAACCACATATGAGACCGACTTCTCTGCACAGGCAGGTGACAAAAGTGACTTTTTCTCAAGTAATCTGTCAGATTATACAATGTGAATTATTGAAAAATGAGTAAGTGTTTTATGTTGTTGATGTTCTGGTTGTTGTGATTCTGCTCCCTTCTGGATTTTTGTTTTAAATTTTCAAGAACTGATAAGCTTCAGATTCATCATCATCTGCACTTTATCATTCTGTGCATCTACCTGATGAGCCTCCTCATCCACGGATTAGGACAGATTATGTGTACTAAATCAACAATGGGTTTCATTTAAGATTCGTGCAGCACTTTGTGAAGGGTAACCCCCGTCAGGCTGCCTGTTTCACACAAAGTGAGTCATTTATTTTGACAACTTCCCACGTCTTCAACCCAAACCTTCAATCTCAGTGTGATKGTGTTTCTACTGTAGTTCTGACACGGTGCGTGGGTGTTTGTCACTTTCCCTCTCAGTYTAAMATCTGTCCGTCTGTCTGTAGAAACGTCTGAGATTGTTCCGTCTCAAACGTCAGCTCACTGCTCTGACATGTCTTTAATTTTACAGATGTTTTCTCAGCATGGTTAAAAATAATCTGGTTCACTTGCAGACCCTGGGAATGAGCTTGGTCCTGACGGGGAGCATGTTTTCATTCTGATAAGAATAAAGTTCAGTTAGGACACAGATGAGGGTCTTTGATTTACAAGATGAACATTAAAGATGTTAGAAAAAATATCTGGGTGCAGAAACTAATGTCAAAACAGGCTCTGAATGACACAAACCTGGATTTATTTTATAAATCAGGGAGGAAACATTAAGATGAAAACATGAAGGAAGTGAAATGTTACCAAGGATCCATTATTGCTTCTTTTCTGCTCTGAGTGCAGTGAACAGACTGCAGTTATCTGTCTGCAGACTGATGATCACAGCTGTAACTAAGTACAAATACTTCTTTACTGTACTTAAGTAGAGTTTTTGGGTATCTGTACTTTACTTGAGTAATTATTTTTCAGCGTACTTTTACTCCTTACATTTTATAAAAATACAAGAAGTATAAAGTTGTTCCTTTTATTTCATTTCTGCTTGTTTTCATTGCAGCTTGTTGTTGTAAAAAATAAAAACTATCCATATAAACTGAGCCTCCTAGATAGAGTGAATTTAACTGTGGTTGAATGAGAAGTATAAATATATAAAACTCTGATAGTGTATTAGTTTGTACACAAACAAATCATGTCACACTCCAGCAGGACAGAATCATTCAAATAAAAGTACTGTACTTAAGAAGTACCGTATTTATTCGTGTGTAATACTATCTCATGTATAACAC